GGCGTACAGAATGCATATAGTGTATATAAACAATTATATTACGACCCCCACTTTTCCACAAGAAAAAATCAACTATCAAAATAAATTTGTCTTACAAACGACCCCCCCTCCCTCCCCAGATCAAAAGTACGACCCCTCCCCATGTGCATTCACACAAGGATGCTGTACCCGAGCCGTTTTCTACCACTGGTTGTTCTCTGCAGCCACGATTGACACAAAACACAGCTATGGGTGCGCTCACTGCAGGCCTTCCGACACCGGATTGCGATGATATCAACCATAACAATACGCATTCAGCTGATAAATATTTGAGTAAGTAAAACCAACTTGTTATGAAGTTATACATGGGCTTGTAGAAAGGCAGATTCATACAGCCGTACGTGGATGGATACGTTGCTGTCTCGTTTACCAAGCGTTCCAGAAACGCGTATTTATCGGTTTCTTCAACATCCTGTATAGGATCTGCAAGTTTTTTATGGTTACAAAATACTTACAGTTGAACTGTCGATATTTCAGCGTATTGAAATAATGGGATAGTGGTTGGGTTGAGAGATCCAGGTCGCGGCGACGCACACAAATTAATCAATATTTAATGGTTAGTTGATTTTACATTGTACAGCGCTCCCACGTTGAAATAACAAGGCGCTGGTGCGAATGTCGCGCACAGTTGCAACATCGCGTCGCCACAGCACGGATTTCCCAGCCAAACCGAATTATTCAAAGAGACAGGTTAGTAGAGTCTCATTATGCCATGCTGGAACGCTACTCACATTCATCGTTGTGATTATTACTTTCCTTGTATACGGCCATATTGTACTGGGTATAGCTGTTGTTTTCGAGATGACTTGGTGACAGACTGTAAATTTAATATTCAACCATATTTGTATCCTAGGAACCATAGGAACTCGTAATACAACGCTAACGGTGAGCTTCAGCTCTTTTCGCCGATAGGGGGAGAGGAGGGGGGGGGGGAATTTTACTTTTTCGCTAGTTCTCGTTGTCGTGTTCATTGCCTTACAAGAGTGGACAAATACTTTCTACAAACTTTGTCTATCACAACCTATCTATGGCTTCATAGACAGTGCACGCCATCGCGTTGTGACTGATTCCTAAAAAATTCACACCCCCTCCCTAATAATACGACCCCCTCCCCTTCCCCATCCTACTACCACTTTCCTAGTTTATCCCAACTTTCCTACCATTTTTTCCAGTTTTTCCCAAAAACATCTCTGGTCTTTTCCTTAAAAACCAACAAAAAGCTTGTCGAAGACAAATACGACCCCCCTCCCTTCCTCCCTTGAGTAGCGAAGAAAACAACCGATCGAAAAATTTTCTCAGACCGAATATCGCGGTCAAATACGACCCCTCCGTTGTGATTATCACAACGATGTCATATTCTGCTCATAGAATCTCACAAATCTCTCTTGATGACTCGACACGGTAGTGAGAAGCAGCGAGAAAACAAAATGCCCTCCCCCTTCCCTCATCGTCGAACTGCGGCGCCTTGAACTTACCTGCTGGAAATTTGCATACCCTGCTTTGCCCCAATAATCGGTAAAAGCGTTGTAGATAACCAGATTGAATGTGGACTGTTTAGCAAAAATAGATGCCGGAGCTTGTGATAGCATCACTGAATCATCACTTCTTGTCAGTTAAAGAAAACACGCTAAAGCGGATCACCTACCGGGATCACAATGAGGTCCAAGATAACCCGTTGGACAGTTGCAGAACGCTGTCCCATCATTGGAATAGCCTCCATTGAGGCATACGATATCCTCACACCTACCGCTATCGCTGTCTGAATCGACAGAAATTTGGGTAGTTTTTAGTTAGAAGGTAAGAAGTGTCAAATATGACTGGAGCTCGCTTTGGTAGTGTTTACCCATAAGGGCTCCTTATGACCACGGGAAGAGGGCGCATAGATAGTTATTTATTTTTAGGTCACCATGCGGCGTGGCGACGTGTCGCGCGCGGCAAGCGACAACTTCGCGCCGCACGGTGACCTGAAACGACATTGGCGATGTCGCTGACAAGCCAACATTCCAGGCAGCTTTCACTGTCAGGTCGTTTGGTAGCTCTCTTCATGCAGATCGTCCTGGTCAGAAAAAAAAGAATAAATGGCAGTAATTACCTTGCATACCTATGAGCATACACAGGTGCCATTTGCAGCGAAACCCCATTGACATTCATGCGCCTCACCACTGAAAACATATTGAAAGAAGACCATTGTAGGAATAAGAAATTGGATCCGTGCTACCCAAAGCAAAATAGTTCTTTAGAAATTACTACTTTTTAACCACCGTAAGGTGGACGGCCAAATGGTTCTCAGGTTCTCGCACTGTGGGACCTTATTCCTCTTCGCAGCTTCACAAAACTTCACCAGTCTCACCAAAATAAGTCCTTTAGATAACAGACTTAGCAAAAGAAACTAGCAATAGTGGATGCCCCTCCCAAGCCGGATACTGAAAAGAAATCAACCGTCTAAAAAGCCGGAAGTCGCTCGTTGATATCACAACGACACCAGCTCTCTCCCATATCACGTCGCTTTCACCATCAGGATCCCTACCATTTCCTGCCTTGCTCAAACAGTGCCGTCTTTTCTGTTCGAGAAAGAGTCCTTTTTGTGTGACCGACAATTGAACATTGAGCCAGAACCTGTTGAGGAACTAGATTTTGAATGGCAGATTCAAGATCAGAAGAGTGGTTCTTCTGTCAGAATCTCTGGAATTCAAGAGCAATGAACGATAGAAATGCTATATTTCTCTACTTATTCTTTGCCAGGGTTGGTCACGACGGGTATAGCCATCTGAGTGGGGATGGAGGGAGGGGGCTCGTCCGGGTGAAGCCGTCGAAAAACACTGTTCCCTTATGACGTGAATCGATAAACAAGCAATTAAATGACGAAATAAATAATTTCAAAGAAAGTACAGAAACCATTCACTAGATGGAATGGCGTCACTTACCTGTAAGGGTCGTTACCAGAAGTATTAGACCGATTTTAGGACCCATTTTCTAAAAGCGACTCAGTTCACTATACTTATTCCCATAGCAATAATTAAAAGGTTTGCAGAGGTAATAGCCATTGAATATAAGTTGTAAAAGTTTATAATGAAACATGTGAATGTAGGGAATCCGATGAAAATGGGTGTGCCGATGGAACTATCGACTGCATTATATTTCAACTGATAAGCTATTTACGATAAGACCTCTAGAAGCAGGGCACAGCAGCGTTGCGTGAAACACATGCGGAGGGGGGAGTCGTATTTCGTTGTTGTTAAGAAAAGGGGGGGGGTCGTATGTGGCTTCGAAAGGAATTATCCGAGTTCGGAAAATTTTTTTCCTGGTTGTTGACTTTTTGCGGTTTTTCCCG